AGTAATAATAATGACTGTAACTATGAACTTACTATATAATTAGGGTTAGACTTTGGTTTAGTTGCTTGTATTTAAGCATAATTTACTGCTATTACTATAGTACATGCAACATATGTAACAAAGACACTGTAAAATAAAGTGTTACCTAATATAACCTTATGTAAATTACATTGGTCACACTTTAGTTTGCCTCAATAAACTCCTTATTTGCTGCTTATTAATAGTTTGCAAGGTTGTTAAAATTAGGTATGGGCTTGGGTTCTAAAATATGGTCATGCAAAATAAGGCATTAATATGTACTTTATAGGTACTAATAAAGCCAATATGCTAGTAATAAAATTACAATATATATTTAATAGTTATTTATTGAGTATATTATGTATAACATAAGACTTGATCTGACTCAAGTTTGATGCCTTTTCTGGCCATTCCAAATAAACAGATTTTATCAGTCGACAGATATCCCCTCCTCAGTGTGTAGGGAGCAGTGAACACAGCATTTAGGAATCCAGTCAATCAGAATGCAGCTATATTATCCTTGTACTACAGCCAGTGCGGTGAGAATTCAGACACTGCTCAGAACAGCAGAGCCAAAACAGGGCTCAAATGGTAACTCTGTTCTTTTTCATTTAACTGAGCTCTGTTGCTAAAAAAAACACTTGCTCATCAAATGATGAGGAACCACCAGAGGGGCTTCAGTATTTGGCTGTGGGGAGTCATATAAGCAATGGAATGCATGACTGATCCACTTTCAGTGAAAGATCAATGAGTATGATTACATTTATATTCAGCTCTCAAATGTGGCCACCTTCACACTCGGCTGCATATGAAACAAGCAGCTTTGCTAGATGATTGAATGAACTAATGCTTTGTAATATATACAATCCCCAGGCACTAAAAAAAAAAAAACCAACAACAGTGAAATACTGTGCCTCATTAATCAAACATTCATTCATTAAGCACTACTGAAAGAACTGAATGACATAACAAGAGTAAGACTAAAGCCTACACTTTAATTAAATGCTGAGGTTTAGCACCTCCATGAATACTTCAGTATATAATACACCTTACACATACAGAAGCAGACTATGACTGTACTTGTTTATTCTTATGAGAGAACAACAGGTGATAAAAAATACTTATATATATAAACTTTTATATATATAAACTACACTTAAAGAAAAAGATAATGCAAAAATGATATTGAAATGTTCTCTGATTTAACTTTTTTGTTTGAATCACTTAAGTTTTAAAAAAGTACTTTTATGATAGATTTTTTAGATTTTACGATTAAAAGTCTAGATCTGGGAAAAGGACAAAATCTATAAATAAAAGACATTTGAAAAATTAGCAAAAAATAAAGTGACCTCATTAAAAGTGTCCACTTCCCAGAGAAGTAACACTGTTATCTGTCTCTTGGTTGCTAACAACACAGATTTTTTTTTGAGTCATCAGCACCGGCTCTTCATCTTCACAACACTTTCAAACTCATTTCTCCAATGTTCTTTCAGCCTAGAAATGTCACTGGCATGAAAACTCTCTTACACGGCAGCGATTTTAAACCCCTGTGCTAAACGAAGGGGCTGCATCTTTTATTCAGACTGCTAGCTAGGAACCACTATGACCAGAATAATCCACAGTTCCATATAACTAGCATGAATGAGCAGTTGAAAAAAAATGAACAAAGGCCATTTCAAAGAAAAATGACAAAATCTTACATTATTACAGCTGGTCATTCTGGCTCGTACCCTGCACATCCTGCTCGCTCGTGCAACAGTCTATGGGCTCGTGTCGTTATTATTCTTCATTCCTAAAGTGTTCAGTGTGTTCAGAAATAACTGCTTGAAATCCAGAACTCCTCAAAGCAGATGTGCGCTCTTTTTCAGCCCTCTTTCATCACCAGTGTTGGGCAGTAATGCATTACTTAGTAACGCGTTACTGTAATTTGATTACTTTTTTAGTAACGGAGTAATTTAACGCATTATAATTTTCAAAATAGTAATTAGAGTATAGTTACAAGCCGAGGTCTCTATACGTTACTGCCGCGTTACATTGCTGACAGAATGCAGTGTTTTATAATCT